AAACAGCATCCAAATAACCTAAGGCAACAGCAGGCTAAACCCAGGCTGACCACTGAAGGGAGGTAATATAATGCAGAATTTTTTTGGGGGGGGGGGGACCTGGAATAAAAAGAAGGTTGAACTCGATTTTAGTGCAGAATGAAAGGGATTAAAAAATAGGTTGAATTCAATTTTAGTGCATAATTGCCTGGAGGATACTGTGGTGAACATGGATTAAAAGGAGAGTGCAGAAAGGACCATGTCCTCTGGAAAAGAGAGCAAGGGAAGAATGGAAAGCTGTGAGCTGATGGACAGGAAATGTAAGCTGTTTGCCTTTCTCTTCATGGGCAGTTCCCGAAAGGCATAGCTATGAGAGGAGGAAAGCAGTCTGTTAAATGCATTTGTGTGTGAATAAATCTTCTTGGCAAGAGCAGTCCTCATCACTACACATGTCCTTTACTTGGAGTACTGTCTGTTTTGTGACCATAGGCTACTTAGTGAATATAGCTGTTTTTAAGGGCACAGCTGTTATTAAGGGGGCAAAAGGGTTAACCTGTCCTAAGAAATAGGCTTCAACACACTTGGGGAGGGGAGACTACGGCGTGTGTATGTGTGAGTGTGTTAACTATAAAACTGATGTGATCGCTGACTATTTTGGGCTCAGTATTGAGGGCATTAACGCAGAGGGGAAATTGTTTTCCAGATGGTTTAGAGGTCACATTTTCCTATGTATAAGCTATCAGGATTGTTTTTATCATTCTGTTTTTCAGTTGAAATCCTTGCACTGTACAGGACACTTGTCTCCTTTGCTGGTGCCCTCTCTTTCCATCAATTAGTTCTTTAATCTCTGAGTTGGAAGGGACTACCAGGGTCATCCAGTTGAACACCCTGCCAGTGCAGGAACTAGAGATGTAAAATTTCTGGAAATTTTGAAGCCACTCCCCCCACACACACACCTTTTCAGGGGGGAAATGGAAATTTGGGTGGAAATTGAACTATATGGAACACTTACTATCAAACCTAAACCAATTTTATTGCTTTAATAACATGAAATGCATTGTTTATAAATTAGCATATAAAATTCCAATATTTGACATATTTATGGAATTTAAATGTTATAAATGTCTTAGTTTCTACAAGCAAAAATGCAAACATACCCAGTATTTGAGAGGAAACTGAAGTAATACACCGTATGCTGTCTTAACACATGTATCTTAATTTTTGCTGTCTGATTGGAGAGAGCTTAGTTCTCAATGAAATGTTCAGTTTTCCTTTGAGGCTTCGGTGCAGTTTCTGCCCTACTTTCTTCTGATCTTTTTCCCCTCCAGCAAGGTAGGGCAATAAGCTACTTGTTACCCAGTCTGTGGAAATACGTCTCACCAGTGGCTGGAGGGAGAGTTGAAAAGGTCAACCATGTCAGGTCAAAGGACAACAGTTGAAAATCAATGTAACAGTTGAAAATCAATGACAGCTCTGTATGCCCCCCTTCCCTTCTTGAAGATCATCCTTCTAGGTTCAGAAATACTTGGATTTTAAGAGCTGCATATATCTAGCACATGCCCACCATCTCTTTAAAAGCATTTCACTCATTTGAAAAGAGAAAATATTCCATAGGTTTTTTTTAGTATCCCCCCAAATTTGGAAATTTTCCACTGGAAAATTGGGGGGGGGAGCCTTGGAAAAGGGGGGGAAACATTTCCCTCCAATTTTTCCTGTTTTTCCCCCTGGGCTTTCACATCTCTAGCAGGAACTACAATATCATCAACAAATATCTATCCAATCTATACTTAACAGTCTCCAATAATGAATAATCTACCACCTCACGATGGGGACTGTTCCAGTGTCAAATACATCTCACTGTCAGGAAGTTCTTCCTCAAAGTTATATGAAACCTCCTTTGCTGCAGTTCATATCCATTAGTCTACTTTCTGTCATCCAACATGACTGAAAACATATCTCCCCTATCTTCCACATGGCATCCCTTTAGATATTGGAAAGTGGCAATACTAGCACTTTGTAAGCATTTCTTATGTAAGAGATTCCCAGCTCTTTCAGCGTCTTCTCATATGGTATGGTCTTCAAACCCCTCATCAGCTTTGTTGCCCTACAGTGAATTCCTTCCATCTTATTGACACCCTTTCCAAGCTGAATGCAGTACTCCAGGTGAGATCTAACCAAAGCAGTGTACAGCAGCACCAATGCTTTGCATGGCCTCAACGCTACATTCCTGTTAATTCAGCCTAAAATTGGATTTTTACTACACAAGTGCAACCCTTGTCCCTATTAAACTTCATTTTATTTGCCTGGGCCCAGTCCTGCATTCTACCCAAGTCCAGCTGTATCCTATTTCTGTCCTACAAGGTATTAACTACCTGACCCTTTAATATCATCTGCAAACCTGATGAGCACTAGGGATGTGCATTCAGTAAAGCAGAACTGAAAGAAACCTGAAAAACCTTTTTCGGCATTTTCCAGGTATTTGGCATATCAAATCAGATCCCCTGAGCTGATTCGGCTGCCAAATACTGAATGCTGAAAACCCCCTGAACATTTTTGGTTTATTTTCGGCTTTTTCTGGGAGACACTGCTGCCTGCCTTTTCCCCATCCCCATAGGAAACAATGGATTGAGGGCACCCTCTTTGGATGCCCCTAGAATTGGACCCCCTGGTCCAATCTTTTCCAAATTTGGGAGTCCTTTTGGGGAGAGGCTCCAACACAGTACAAATTTGGTGTCTCTACCTCAAACCCCCTCCACCCCAGCCCCCTGAATACTTGTTAGAAGATTTTTGCCATTGACTACAATGGCCCCATAGGATATAATGGAGCTGGAAAATTTTGGGGATACCGAAAAAAATTGGGTACCAATGGAATCCCAGTATTAGTATTCGGGTATATTCGGAAATCCAAAAAAAAAAAAATCCGGCTTTGTTATACCGGAATCCGGGGGGAAAAACCCGATTCCCGCCCCTGCACACCCCTAGTAAGTACATTCTGAACTCCCTCATCTGTGTCATTTATAAAAGATGTTAAACAGTACTGAGCCCAGAACACCCCACTTGTCACCTCCCTCCAGCTGATGGGGAACCATGCACTTTTACCCTTGGGTGTGATCTAGCAACCAGGCCTTAATCCATCTAACAGTACCACATCTCACCAACTTCTCAACAAGAACATCATGGGGCACTATGTCAAAGCTCTACTAAAATTGAAATAGGCCACATCCACAGGATTCCCCTGATCTGCCAAACCAGTAATACTATCAACATGACTTATTTCTAAGAAAACCTCACTGTGATTTAACAATTACACCATGTCTATCCAAATGTTTGCAAACAGACCTCCTTAATAATCTGTTCTAAAATCTTTCTTGGAATTGATGTTAAACTAACAGGCTGATAATGTCCTAGATCATCTCTCCCCCCCACTTCTTAAAAATAAGTATAACATTAGCCTTTTTCCAACCCCCCAGTACCTCCCCCATCCTACAAGTTTTTTCAAAAATTAAAGAGAGGTTCTGATATGACATTTGTCAACTTCAGCATCCTAGGATGTAATTCATCAGAACTCGAGGATATGTATGGATTTAAAGCAACCAGGTGTTCCCAGAACATCCCTATTTATCCTTGCATTGCATAAAATCTAGAATTATCTGTAATAGCGTTCTGTAGGATATTCTACCTTGTAATAGGTTTTTGTAGGGTATTCTGGCAGTGAGAAACTGTACTAGATGACTTGGTTCCTTTAGTTGGCAGCTGCTGTCTTGCATTGCTGCTCTGGACTCTGCTGAGTTATGGCCAGAGTGAGCTAATGTTTTCACTTGCCATCAGTAACTTGCAGTGGTTTAAAATATCAGTGGAAGTTCTGGTCTGCTTCCATCAGCTATGGTAGGAATGAGGAGGCAATGTCTCTCCTAGCTGGGAAGCTCCCTTAGACCAAGGTTTCCCTGGAAAGCACCCTGTAACCAACCAGCTGCTGCCAGTCATAACTGTCTGAGAATATCTAGACTGACCCACTGAGAAGGTACTCTTCCAGCACAGTGCGAGAGTAGTAATTAAGGGACAGTATAGAAACCCTAGAAAATACCTTATAACCAGCTATGTAGCACCTGTGCAGTCTAGCATGTGGGAAAGAGGTTAAGAGAAATATCCCAGAGAAGTAAACTGTAGCAAGCAAAGCCAAGAAATATCTTTATTAAAAGGTTTATTATAAAAGAGGGGAAAGAGTGGGTGGATTCAAAAAGGTGACAGGAAAAGGGCAAAAACAAAATACAGGGGAAAGGCACAGAGCACAGAGCACAGAGATGTTCAAATAAAAAACAACAGTTGAATTAACTAAGCTAAACACATATTATCTAAGCTGTAGCAGGTTCCTCAGAGCATGTGCAGAGTTTGTGCAGCAACAAAAAGTCAGAGGAGTCCTTAACCTGTACCAAACCTCCTGTGGACTAAACCAAACACCTCTCTAAGAGTGTTGAGCTGATGTAGCAAATGGCACACAAAGCCCCATCTCTGATGTCAGAGGCTACTGTCACCGATCAGAGTGGTATAAAATACAGTCCCTCCTCCATCAACCATCTAGTAATGTCTCTGAACTTTATGACCCATAAAGTGGTCTGGCCCAAACCAGATTGTCCTATGCCCAAAAGGGTTAAGTCTGGCAAGATGGTCCAGTGTGGAATAGAATTGAATGGGTCATTCTAATATAACCCCAGGTGTCCAAGATCCCAGACACTGTTGAGCCCTAGTAAGGTTTTAGGGTTTCTGTTGTTGAGAGGTGAAGAAAGCTGCATGGCAGCAGAACTAGGCTTTTGGTCAGGGAACAGTCTGTGTTTCCTTATACGACTTGGGAGTGGCCCAGAGCTGGGTTTGGGGTGCAGTTGCTGCCACTTGCTCAATTTCTTTTTTCCCTGGGGTCACCTATCTCATGGCCTTGGCACCAGAACCAGGGTCACGGGCAGTAATCTAACTATGTGAACCTGATGTCGTTCTCATTAGTATGCATTGCTCTGTTCCCAACACAGGCTCCTCATTGCGAACATGCCTTCTGCAATGCCTGCATTACCCAGTGGTTCTCCCAACAGCAGACGTGTCCCGTGGACCGCAGCGTTGTGACGGTGGCTCACCTACGCCCTGTTCCCCGGATCATGCGTAATATGCTATCTAAGCTTCAGATTACTTGCGACAACGCTGTTTTTGGGTGCACTGCCGTTGTGCGCCTCGACAACCTGATGTCTCACCTCAATGACTGTGAACACAATCCAAAGCGGCCTGTGACTTGTGAACAGGGATGTGGGTGAGTGCTGCCAAATTTAGGCAGTTCCAGCCCCAGGCACTGCAATGTTAGAGTTCAGTGTATGGGCTCTCCAAAGATGTGGCCAGCAGTATTTCCCAGTGTGATCTGGAAAGACTAATGAGGAAGCCCATTAGATGTATGGTCCAATGGAGATGGCTTTCATGATGCAGTTGAATTGCACAATAATGGCATCTGGTAACTTGGGGCGACTAATTTTTGGCCCAGTTTACTTGAAGCTTTGCTTGTTGATTCTGATTTATTGCAGATCCCCTTAAAACCCCAAGTTTCTATTAGGATATCTTTATTAACTTTCTTTTGTAGTGTACTCCTTTCTCAGTTCTGCTGGTCTCTCTGTGCAGCTTGGAAATGCCCAAAGATGAGTTGCCGAATCATAACTGCATCAAACACTTAAGGTCAGTGGTTCAGCTACAGACCAGAATAGCTGAGCTGGAAAAGACTTCAGCAGAGCATAAGCACCAGCTAGCAGAACAGGTAACTGTTTTCCAGTTTCCAAACATCTCAAATGTTTGAACTGAATGGCTGTCTTTTAAGGGTGCTTTTTACTTTTCTAAATAACAAAAAATAGAATTTAAGACAACCTTAGGTGCTTTGAAATTATTGTATGCTTTGTTAATTTTTTTAACATGTTAACTTTTTTTTAAAAAAACCATGTTGAAGCTAAAACATCCCAAGCACACACTCCTCAATACAAGTTCACTTTTGGACATTAATCCATTGCTACAGGCTGATTATGAAGTCTGTGATAACCGAAGGGGTTTGAGGGGGGCTGCAGTGATGAAGCCTCTGGCTCCTATTGGCTGAGTTCATCAGATAGCTGTAGAATAAGGGGGTGGCAACTGGCAAACTGCCTGGTCAAATTTGGCTTCCCGAGTGGTACTATCCTTCCATTGCTAATGCAGAGACAAAAGAGGGGCATATATAACTTAAGATGGGACTAGAAAATACATTATCCCGGGGAGGCAAGATGAGGTATTGGCCTGCAGGCCTCTCTTCTCTGCATCCCTCCAGAAACAAGACTAGTTGCTGACCCTGGCCTTAGAACATTGTGAATGCCACTTGCCAAGGGAATGAAATAACATGGAATGTTAACATTCATTCTTCTCAGGGGGCATTGGAGGAAGGTTAGTGTTGGTGGTACACTGAAGCCCAGGAATCTGGAGGAAGAGTAGCTGGTGAAGGCAGAGGCCTGAGAGGGAGAGATGGACAGAGTAGATAGGGAATTGAGAATGGGGGCTGTGTTAAAAAACCTCACCCAAGGTTTAAGGACGGCGGAAGCTGTATATTGTGGGTAAGAGGGGGAGAGGGGAGGGGAATATGAAAGTGCTGGATAGTGAAGAATGCCAGCTGGGAGTCTGAAAGAAGCCAATTGTTTAGATAGTAAGGGGAAAATTGGAGGCCTGAGGAAACAATGGCTAGAGGGGGCAGGGTGTTGACTAAAGAGTATGGGGAAGAGAAAGGTAAGGACTCTTTGTTACTTATTTCCTGGCAGGGCTTCTGTGCCTCCAAAAGCAGAATAATGGCGCAACTTTTTAAATCACTGTATCCCTACGCTGAACAAAAAAAAGTTATATTCCAGTAGTAATTATGAGGACTAGACTGGGAAGTTAAAATGGCCCTGGAACAAGCCAAGTGGAGTGGCCTCTGCAGCACTGTGAATTACTGAGTTACCCATTGCATCTTCCCACAAACCAGTGGCAGTGCGGGAGTAGGCAATTGAGGAAGGGACACTGATTATTGTTGTAGAAGGATCTGAACCAAGGGATCCCTGAAGCACTGGCAAAGTTGCTGGGAATTGGCTGTGCTTGTTCCTGACCACCAATAGCCCTCAGGGCAGTGGCCTATTGGGAAATTTCCCCTTAAGTTATATGGCCACTCTGCACCAGTAACTACCTAGGAAACTTGAGGCTGTTGTGGGTAGGTCAGTAAAAATGTCAACAGATTCCAGGCCAAGGATTTTGGGAACGAGATTATAAAGGACCATTTTTCTGCTGCCTTCATATACAGCATACAGTGTGCTGTGTTTGGAATGCTATGTATCATTCCGTTTGCTTAGTTTGGCATCTAGCTAGATATGAAGTCAGAAGTATGTGTGATTTTTCTATTCTTGGTTTAAAACAGCCACATTGTAGGGTGAAGGGAGCATTGGATCTGGAAAGCAGTGTTGCGGGAGCAGGTGTTTTCCTGCACTAAGTGACCTGCTTTCTCTCACCTGATATATGCTGTGCTGAGGAAAGCATATCGTTGACTTTGTGATGTGTGGGGCAATAGCAGCTTTTGAAGTGAGTGGTGGGTGGGATTTAGTCCAGAGAAACAGCATGGAGGAAAGGATGAGACCCACTTCCCAGATTCAGGTTGGAAGAAAGGACACTGTAGCAGGTTAGAACTTTCTCTGTAAAGGCAAGGTATGGTGGATTGGTCATCCCTGAGGCTGAGGGAGGGCTTAATTTCAGAAACTGATTTGAAGAGCTTGCAGGGAGAAGTGGCAGGATTATGTGTGATGTCGTGGTTGGAGTGTCAGACTAGGACCTGGGAGACCAAGTTCAAATCCCTTGCTCAGCCGTGAAGCTCATCCAGTGACCTTAGATGAGAGTCACTCTTTTTCAGCCTAACCTATCTCTTAATCTGGATTTGGTTTTACAGGTTCTTGCCCCAGTGGGGTACACAGCTGTCCCTGTTTCTCAGGGTTGTCGTGACAGGGGAAAGGAGGAAAGAGAAACATGTGTACTATCCTGCCTTCCTTGGAGGAAGAGTGGGGTTTTAAAAAGCAATAGGTAGAAGAGGCTTTCGCTTTTACTTGGCACACAAGACTCCTGTTTCTCAACTATACAGATAGCCGATCTTATGGATGTACTTTTTTTTTTTTTTGCTGTTTGCTATAGATGGGGGGGAGGGGTCTATGACTGCTGAAACAGAAACACAGTGCTGCAATTGTGTTCTTCAGATTTATGCTCATTCAAATCATACAGTTTCTTGTAAGAGTCAATGTGGTACAGTAAATCAGTAGTGTGGCTTCATGAAGGATGCACACATGCTGCCTTATGTGGCCACTTACCTTTATAGAATTGTCCAGCTAAACAAACATCGTTAATCTTAATTTTTTTTTCTGCATTGTCAATAATTATATAATGCCTTTGTGGCAGTCATCCCCAAAAGTCCCGCCTATCCTCCAGGGCTCTAAACCAATCCTTGTAATTTAGGCCTCATGCAAATCCAAGTGACTGTCAGCTAATCAGGGCCCAGGGAACTCCAGTGGGTAGGAGGGGTGAGTAGGGTTACTAAACTCCAGGTGCTGGCAGGAGATCTCCTGGGACTACATCTCCAGGAGATAGAGATCAGATCACCTGGAGAAAATGGCCATTTTGGAAGGTGGGCTCTAAGGCATTATACCCCATTGAAGTCCCTCCCCAAACTCCACCCTCCGCAGGCTGCTCCCCAAAATCTCCAGGTATTTCCCAACACAGAGCTGACAACCGTAGGGTGAGCCAGCCTCAGTTTAAGAAGGGAGAGGAAAGATTTTTCCTCAGATGGGAATTTTGTGGCTCTGGATAAGAGCATTGGTTTAGTCAGGTGGTTTATTTAGGCTTTAGTGAGGGTTTGGGGTTGGCTTAGGGAAGAAAGCTTGTTTTAGTAAGACAAACATCTTGTTAAGGGTCCGATATTTGTACCTTGCTTGTAAAGGTTCTGTGGACAGGGGATCTCTTTGTTAAGAGAGGATGCTGTTTGTTGTGGAATTAGATTCCAACAAGTGGAGGCCTGTGAAAATCACCCCCCCCCCCATTGCTGAGGATTTGAGCCCAGTGACAACAGTTTCTGAGAGCCACTCCAAGCTCAGTGTGTGTGTGTGGGGGGAGGGACTTGTCTCTGCTCGGCCCAGCACAGCTACCAGCATCTTTCTCTGCTGCAGCTGGGCCAGTGCGGCTGCCAGGTATCCTCCACCACTATGGTCAGGCTGCAGTGGCTGCCGGGAGTCCTCCACTGCAGCCAGGCCACAGCATCTCCTAGGCATCCTCCTCCATTGTGGCCGGGCCCAGTGCAACTGCCAGGTGTCCTCCACCACTGTGGTCAGGCTGCAATGCCTGCCAGGAGTTCTCTTCCATCATGGCTGGGCCTGGGGTAGCTGTTGGGCATCCTCTTCCACCGTGGCCCAGCCACAGTGACTCCCAGGTGTTCTCAGCCACTGTGGCCAGGCTAGTGCAGCTGCCAGCCTCCTTTGACACTGAAGCTGTGCCAGGCGTGGCTACTGGTGTCCACTGCCAGGCTGTAGTGGCTCCATTCTGAACAGGTAAGATCATCGCCTGCGCATGAGCAGACAACGCAAATGTTTTGCGGGGGATTTAACACACACACCCCATGTACTTTAACATGGATTTTAAATTTTTCTGCAAACCTGAGGAGTGCCCCAAGTTTGCAGAAAAATCTGTTTAGCCTCCACATGGCCCCTTGGAGTCAGCTGAGGTAATCTGTCTGAAGAAAGGGGAACCAAAGTTCCCCTCAGAGTTTATTTAAGTTAACTGAGGCTCAGCTACCAGGTGGTTACTCTTTGAGAAAACTTGTAACCAAGGGGGAGGGGTGAAGTTGAGAAGCAGTTCACATTATATACGGAACTATTTCCACACAAGGTCATTACTCTCTCCATTTTCTGTTAAATACACCCTTGTTATTCATCTCCATCTATGTCTTTTCTGTCCAGTCCAGTATCTATGCAAAATGATTTCTACTTACCTCAAAAACAATTACAGTCTTAGTTGAGCAGGTTCCCAAATAAGAGACTTTTAGGGAGCACGTAGCTTATATTCTACTAAGCCTTTAATGAAAGCTTGTGTCCCCCTTTTTACCTGACAGGAGGTATTTGGGGTTTAAAGAATCTATAGGAGAGGACAGAGAGGGGGACTGAACAGTCTTCAGTCCAGTGGGCAGTTGTCTCACAGCTCCCCCCGCCCCAATAGCTGCCACAGACTTCAATACACATTTATTATTCCCTGTTAGCATCTTTTATGTTGTGCTCCCAATGGTCATTTGTTCAGGAGAGGTCCACATCCCTTTAGCTTTAATGTTGCTTATACCACTGCCTGTTCCCTGACCTTTCTCTAGGCCCCCCTACATAACAGCTCAGCCCTCCCTTGTAATGGACAGATGTTAGTATTTGGGGGATTTTTTTAGCCATTTTTAGAAAAATCTTCTTTGTAAACTGCAGCATTTGTCTGACTGTTTCACACCGAGGTTCCTGTATATTTGTTTGCTTCTGCTGTACTTGCCTTGAAAATTTAATTACTCAGTTTAGATTTGCTAGGCTTGCAGTCTCTTGTATGCATTTATCCTCAGCTAGACTCTGCCTGCTTATTGGTTCACATCTTGTTTTAATCATTGTGCCTTTTGTCCTGATCCTTGCAGAAGCGTGACATTCAGTTATTGAAGGCATATATGCGAGCAATACGTAGCGTCAACCCCAACCTACAGAATCTGGAGGAGACAATTGAATACAATGAAATCCTAGAGTAAGTGCTAATCTCTTGGGCATAGGTGGGTTAGAAACTGGGTAGTCTGAAGGTTAAGGAGCTATCAGGCCAAAGCACATAAGAGATTAAGGTGTTCAGGAATAACTGAGAGATGGTGCAGACATTAGTAGCCAGAAATCTCTGTGCCATGTGCTTGGGAGGGATGATTTATGGAGTGCAAATATGAGCCTACTTCTCATGACGTAATGAGAAGCAAATATGAGCCTACTTCTCATGACGTAAAGCATTGCAAAATAGGGAGGGTGATGGTTCATTGTACCAGTCATGGAAAAGGAATATATAGTTTGTTTTTTCATGTCATGCAAAGCCTCATTGGAACATAGGGAGAACAACCAGTACATTAGGTGGGACTATGGGTCGTCTTCTCTTTTGTTTTGAAACTACAGAGCCTTTTGTTATGGTTGGGTTATTAACGGTATGGGATAATAATGGGGTTTTTTGTTTTTTTTTAAATTTAAAGATTTTTATTGTTTTTAGACAAAAGGTTAACAGTAAAATCGAGAACAGTGTAAAATTATGCTTAAATACACACATCTTAACATATGTAAATTTTGCATATTTTCAAGTAATTATGTTCAGAACTGTTTTAAAAAATAATGTACATTTTAAATGTATGGCTAACAGAGTTTAGGGTAAAATCTTTCTCCTGAATGTGGAGATTATCTTAAAATAATTCTTATGCCTTTGGGATGGATTGATTTTATACAGGCATGGAGGGACATCAGATTCCTTCCCCCTTAATTGCCACCACAAACCCCAGAGCACAGGTGCAATGTGCTACTTTCAGGCTTACCCAGCAAGTGCTGAGCTACTTGCACTCTCCAAACAATCTTTAGTGGCAGCCCCTTAAGAGTGTATGACAGTAGGGGGAACCCTTGTGAGGTAGTGGTCGGGGACTTGTCAGACTAGAATCCCTGTTGTGCCACAGAAGCTTGCTGGGGTGACCTTGGGCCAGTCACACACATTCAGCCTACTCCACCTCACAAGTTTGTTGTAAGGATAAAATGGAGGAGAGAAGAACAATGTAAGCTGCTCTGCATCCCCATTGGGGAAAAAGACAAGGTATAAATAAATTAAGTTAATAATAATAAATTGTGGGCAGGAAGGCATGGGTTAGGGTTTGAATGGTGAGGTCTGAAGACTTGTTAAATTGTCCATAGATGGAATCAGAGGCAGAGCAGAAAACTGAACTCCCAGGTCTGAATCCCAAGATTATGCCTCTAACAGTGCAATCGGAATTTCAGACAAACGATATAATCCGGAAGAGGAACGGTTCCCAAACGGTTTCTGGTCTGTCATTTCAGACAGAACCGTTTTAGAACCGGTTCCCTACCAGAATATATTTGTAATTTCACACACAAACGCTTCTGTCCCGGTTAGGAAACAGGGCTGAAGCGTTTTACCTGTCAACCGCTTCCAAGTAGTCTTCAGTTTCCTCTCCCAGTTCCGATGCGCTTTTCCCCACCGTTTTTCACCCACGCAGGCGATCTCTGGCTTGTGTTTTTTTTAATGTTTGCTTTATAGCGCTATAGCGTTATAACACTATAACGAAACAGCATTATATCAACCCCACTGGAATGCCTGGAGTGTTGTGTTATAGCACTATAGTGCAATAGCGCTCTAAAGCGAATGTTAAAAAAAAAAGAAGCCGGAGATTGCCCACACGGGCGAAAAACGGCGGGGGGGAAGCGGGAAAAAGCAGTCTGAAATAGCAAATCGCTTCAGATCCAGCTCTTTACCGGAAAGGGAAAGCCATGTGTGAAATGGCAGCCCTATACTGGTTTACTCAACGACGGATCAAAAACGGCTTCAAAACGGGTTAAAAAGGGTAATGTGAAATTCCTCAGAGTTACACCCTTCTAAATCCATTTGGATTCAGTGAGCTTAGAAGGGTGTTTCTTTACTTCGGACTGCAAACCTGTGAACTGCAAACTGTACCAAGGAAACATAGGGTTCTTTAGAGGTTTTTCAAAAAGAAGGTTCGGTCGTATAAGGCAAGTTTCCGTGACACACTGCTTGCCTTCCCCACCACTGCTTCACTTGTTTATTTATTTATTTGTTAAATTTATATCCCGCCCTCCCCCATAGGGCTCAGGGCAGCTTACATGGCAAAAAACTTGCACATAAAAACATCAATCTAGGGCCCTCACCCCCCACATTGATGTTAATGTAGCGGGGGGGCGGTGGCGGCCCCTAATCGAAAGCCTGGTGGAAGAGCTCCGTCTTGCAGGCCCTGCGGAACTGCACCAGGTCCCGCAGGGCCCGGATCTCCTCCGGGAGCTCGTTCCACCAGGTGGGGGCCGCCACTGAAAAAGCCCTAGCCCTGGTGACGGCCAGTTTAGCATCCTTCGGGCCCGGCACAGTTAGAAGGTTTTGGGGCCCCGACTGTAGCGCTCTTGGGGGAACATACGGGGAAAGGCGGTCCCTCAGGTAGGCTGGACCCAGACCATATAGGGCTTTATAGGTAAGAACCAGCACTTTGAAGCGAATCCGGTACGCTATCGGCAACCAGTGCAGCGCTTTCAGCACAGGCTGAATATGGTCCCTTCTAGAGAGACCCATTAACAGCCTGGCCGCAGCATTCTGCACCAGTTGCAGCCTCCGGATTTGCGACAAAGGCAGCCCCATGTAGAGAGCGTTGCAGTGGTCTAACCTCGAGGTGACCGTCGCGTGGATCACTGTGGCCAGATCATTCACTTGTGCAGCACGCAGCCACAGGAGATAACGTATTTTGTAAAGTGCACTTTCCACTTATGCAAAGGCCATTAGGTTTGATCAGGGTTCTTGATAAGCATCTAGAACACATCGTGGTCTTCTTCAGTGCACAGGGTTTTCATGGCAGACACCTCAGCGAGAGTGGAAAAATCTGCCTCATCTAATTCCATTCATGTCACTTCCCCACAATAAATGGCAGGAATAATACGTCAGCACTGTCTACATAAGTTTTCTCAATAAACCTTCCTGGTCAGTATTGTAATCTGGCAGACAGCACAAGGTCAAACACTGGGTGTGAAATACTGTCTAGGAGAGCTGGCTTTGGATGCTAATGCCATTAGGTAACACTGCAAATCATTGGCATACTGATACCTTTACCTGAATATGTGTTCTCACTCTTTGTATTTATTGGGCTTCCAGGTGGGTGAATTCCTTGCAACCTGCCCGTGTGACACGGTGGGGTGGCATGATCTCCACGCCCGATGCAGTACTCCAGTCCGTAATCAGGCGGTCATTGGTGGAGAGTGGCTGCCCCACATCAATCATCAATGAGCTGATTGAAAACGCCCATGAACGGAACTGGCCCCAGGGACTGGCCACCCTAGAAACTCGTCAGATGAACCGCCGCTATTATGAAAACTATGTGGCCAAACGCATCCCAGGCAAGCAGGCTGTGGTGGTGATGGCCTGTGAGAATCAGCACATGGGTGAGGAGATGGTGCTGGAGCCAGGCCTGGTGATGATATTTGCACACGGAGTGGAGGAAATCTAAAAGACTTAACAGAGCTGATAAAACAACATGCTTGAAAGGGAAAAAATGTACCATGTCCAAGCCCACTGATTTTGCCCCTGCTGTGCTGAACCAGGGCATTATTCTTCTCTATGTTGATTTAAAGCATCACTTCTAATCATGCCGGGCAGGTGCCCCAGCAATGTATGCAAAATGCCATGCTGCAGTCCCTCCACTTTGTGACAACTTACCTTGGTTGATGTCGGTTTCCAAATATTTACGTAAAAGCACAAGAAACCTTCTTGTGCTCTAGAAACAGCAGCGGTCTGCTGCGAGAAGCCTTTGACCTCTTGAGATGATTCCATTGGCCGGGGGGGGGGGGCGTGCTTATTGTTCCAGTGTTGGGGTGTGACAGGTTTCTGGATCTTGACTTAAAACGTTTTTCAAAACTGAACGTTTATTCTGAAGACGCCTCCCCCACTCTGGCAGTATGGTTTCCCTTGTCATTCTTTAGGACATTTCTGTGCAGGCCACACAACTCTTCCGTAATTTCCTACAGTACCACAGTACCTTCAAGGGTTTGGGGGGAGAAAACAAACACGAGAAGGCAAATTCCAAACTGGGGATGCAAGAGATGCCAAATAAAATACACATACTAGTAGTGATCTTTTTGGCATTAAATATATATATATATATCTTGGAGCCAAAAATTAGACCCATTGGGAAGGCGATTGGCACACCTCATCTGGGACTTGTGGCCTTAGGATGCACAAGAGGTGGCTTGCGCTCTTCCAGTGGGGAATGTTATTCTTTAGCAATGTGCCGCTGCTGCCACGGGAAAAACTGAATTTGTTATTGCAGAGCCCGGCGGTTCTCTCTCCTCCTTGTGCTCTCGAAGCACTGCTGATGTCAGGTGCTCTGCTGGCTTCAGCTCTCTCTTGTAAGATGCGGGCCTCTGAATAGCCCCTTTGCTTAGCCTGCCCAGAAACAGGCTCCTTTGAGTTTGCGTGTGCCACATAAGGCAGCCTCAGCCATGCTAAAAAAAAAGGAAGCAGAAGAAAATTAACCTTGGATGAAATTGTCTTGTCATTGTATGTTGGTTGTTTCGACAAATCTGTGTGTGATTTTGTTTTGACATCTTGATGACTGTGTTTGGTATTTTTGTACTACTTTTTGCCTTTGTATGTTTCCCTTATTTTATTTTTAAATACAGTGGTCAGGAATGTCTTCAAGTCCAAATTCAGTTTTTCTATCATATTTAATTTATTTGCAGTCTGTCTTTGTTTTTGTTTTTCTACAGCAACTTCCTTCTTTTCTGCTGCTTAACCCCCCCCCCCCTTGCATTTGTGCTTGAGGGGCAAGTAACAGATGCTTCAATAAAGGAGCACTCAAACTTGCTCTTGTTTTTACCCTGACAATACCTTCTGAACCAGTTTGCTGTCATTGTTACCGTGACAGTACCTCCTGAACAAGTTTGCTTTCATCTCTTAGACTCCCTCAATATCCTCAGCTGTGCAGAAACCTGGGCACAAGGCTTAATTCTATTTCTCATGTTCTTGATGCCTGAATGGTTGTTTCAGTGCTGTAATGAGGTTATATGACAGTTGTCCATAGCAACGGTGTCCATTGTAGAGCTTGGACCACTTTGCAAACAGTTTCCTCTGCAAATGTCTAGGACAAAGAAAAGATTAGGAGAGCTGAACTATCAACAGGAATGTTAGTTGTGTGAGAATACTACTTACTTCTTCCATGCCCAACCTAGATGCAGTGGAATGCATAATTTGAAAGACATGTTTTTCTCAACACATGTTGTCCTAAGTGGCCTGGTTGCTCATGGTTACCTTAATGTGGAGAATCCATGATGATGTGAATATGGTTCTCACAAGTTTGAGCCTGCAGCCTGGTCCTCGTTTGCTGGGAAGTTGAACGAGAGGGAGTCACCACAGGAAGATGTGCTTTTTAAGCTTGGATCCTCTTAACTAATACACACACACACACACACATTCCCATTCATTTCACAGAAGCACCATAATTCGTACGAATAAAGTGCATGAATAATGCTGCTTAATTTTGCTTATGATCTTGAATATATACCAGGCAGATACCATGTCCCGTTTCATTCTCTGAGAATTGCTTGTGCTTAAGGGAATCTCTAAATCTGAAGCAGTCATTTGGTTTGATGGCCTTTACATTTTGCAGATCGTTCTGTCAGTTTTTAGCGTTTTCAGCTCTACGCTCTTCTTGTTTTTTCCTGTCCTTCAGCTATCTGCTGTGCTGGTCCCCTGCCTGTGCTTTTCTTCTCCATGTGGAACTTTTCTTTAGCAATTGAGTCTCTCTGGTATGGTTACCAAGATTGTTTTGGCTACTTCACCCAAACTGTCCAAGTTACTTTTAAAAAGTAGCTCCTAGAGTTTCATGTGTTTTTATGTATGTTGTGTTTATAAAATATGGAATGTGCATCAAAAGCCCAATCAGTTTTAGGGATGGGATGGGTTGTGCTTGTATTAATGTCAGTAACCTGACGTGTTTTGAAAGGGGATCTCTTGGTTGGAAGGAATGCTCAGGAATTTTGAAAAAGCTGCTAAATCCAACCTAATAACTGCACCTTGAGCTCAACTAATTTCACTTTGCTCCTAACACGCCTTGTTTTCCTCCATGATGTCTCGCTGTTGCTCTCCCTCGTGCTCTGGAATATACCATAGGATTCTGGTCATGTCTCTTGCCCATCTGCAAGTTGCTGATTGCCTTTTGTGTTCTGCTGTTCAGTTCTGTTGACTGCACTAATAAACTGCCTTTTTTTCCTGACTCCTTTTGACATGCTTCCTTCACACTCTCTGGAGTGCTGTCCTCCTTGCATGAGAACTTTGCAAAACTGCTTGGTTCCTTTTTGTGTCAGCCTCTTCCCACACAGCTGGTGTCCCTCTTTATTTTTGTACTTCCAGTAAAGCAGAATGTCTAGAAGTAGTCTCAGTTATCCCTCGTGCTCTGGAATATACCATAGGATTCTGGTCATGTCTCTTGCCCATCTGCAAGTTGCTGATTGCCTTTTGTGTTCTGCTGTTCAGTTCTGTTGACTGCACTAATAAACTGCCTTTTTTTCCTGACTCCTTTTGACATGCTTCCTTCACACTCTCTGGAGTGCTGTCCTCCTTGCATGAGAACTTTGCAAAACTGCTTGGTTCCTTTTTGTGTCAGCCTCTTCCCACACAGCTGGTGTCCCTCTTTATTTTTGTACTTCCAGTAAAGCAGAATGTCTAGAAGTAGTCTCAGTTATTAAATGAGTAGACAAATCCCCCCCCCCTTCACCAGTGGCAGTACTACATCATTGCTTTCAGGTGCAGGTTTTGACCTTGTGCTCTCGTGGCAATCTTTAGGTTCTGTAAAACTTATACAGTTGAAAAATAGTTGGGGTGGCTCAAGTGGTTAAGACGCCTGTCCTCCTTGCATGAGAACTTTGCAAAACTGCTTGGTTCCTTTTTGTGTCAGCCTCTTCCCACACAGCTGGTGTCCCTCTTTATTTTTGTACTTCCAGTAAAGCAGAATGTCTAGAAGTAGTCTCAGTTATGAAATGAGTAGGCAAATCCCACCCACCCCCCGGGTGTTTTAGAACGAAGTTCTTCACTAGTGGCAGTACTACATCGTTGCTTTCAGGTGCAGATTTTGACCTTGTGCTCTCGTGGCAATATTTAGGTTCTGTAAAACCCATACAGTTGAAAAATAGTTGGGGTAAAATGCAAATGCGGGGAGAGATGATGTGTACATTTGTTTCTGATAACTGCAGTAAAAGGGCTGGTTTCTTTGATCGCTGCATGATAATTGTACATTGAACAAATGAATCTTAGCAGGAGGAGAGAAAGGAAAAAAGAGGAGAAAGAGCACCACCAGCTGGATTTCGTCTCCATCGCTCAATGCAAGACGACCATTTCTGTGTTTGTCCTGATGAGAAATCAATTCTGTATGGCTCAGTGTGTGGAAATAGCTATATGGACAGTGATGGTGTCAGGGCTGCAACAGGCACTGTATGAACAGTGATGGTGTCAGGGCTGCAACAGGCTCTCAGAAGACCCTTAGTGAAGTTCCTAATGGAGTATTCAAATTGTCCCACAGAATAGCTTCCGTATCCCTTAGAAAATGAGGCCACAAGTGGCTACCAAAACTTTTGTTGCAGATGTGGAGATAGGGACACAGAAAGAGGAATTTAAGCAAAAGGGGCACAGAGATTGATGGATAAGGGTTACTTTTTTCTAAAACCTGAAAGTGTGTGCTCTCTTTGAATACCACCTTGGAGGCAGCTGGAGCCATGCATCTCAGGAAACAGATGCTATCTAGGCCAGACATTAATATTTTGTACCTCCTCTCCCCTGATTATCAGCTTGTCTGTGCCCTACTGCAAAGCACCCCCTGAAAGGATCGGGGAGGCATTTAAATGCCTCCCCGTGCCTTCCCCGGCCTGTCCAAGGGCCGGCTTGCCCAGGCTCCCCGCAGCTGCAGGGCACCGGGCAAGCCAAAGGAAGGCAGTTTAAACTGCCTTCCCTTGTTTACACTGCCTTCCATTCCGGGGGAGGCTTGCCCAGGCTCCCCGCAGCCGCAGGACGCCCTGGCAAGCCATGGGAAGGTATGGGGGTGTGGCCTAACAGGCTAATGAGCTGTACTGTCAGGGGTGTAGCCTATTATGCTAATGAGTTCCTGCTGGGCTTTTTCTACAAAAAGAGTCCTGGATAAGGGTGACCTTTTTTTTAAACCTGAAAGTGTGTGTGCTCTCTTTGAATAGCACCTTGGAGGCAGCTGGAGCCACGCATCTCAGGAAACAGATGTTATCTAGGCCAGACATTAATATTTTGTACCTCCTCTCCCCTGATTATCAGCTTGGCTGTGCCCTACTGCCAAGCACCAAGGTGCTTGCTTTGATTGTGAACACGGGATTCAGCTTCTTCCTGTGGCAGGGGAGTTAAATGGTACACGCTGCTAGGCTAGTTTGGAGTATTCCATTTGATGGCTGGGGGGAGGCAATGAAGTCTGGGTTGCTGGAGGATGGCAGAGTTCTGCTTGCAGTAGGTTTGTTCCAAATTTGGCCTGTAGATTTTGAGCCCTGATCATAGGCAGGCGTTAGCTCTGTGCTTCAGTTTTCCACGTGTAAAATGGGATTCGTGTGACACAGGCCTGCGTGTCATGGCCAGGCAGCTGTCTTGAACTATGAGAGGGAAATATGTAATTTCTGCAGCCGTGATGATCATGCAAGCAACCCTTGTTTTCAGTGACTCTGCAGACGTAACAGTTGTACCAGGCCATGAGGAGAGTTAAGATCTTTGCTTAAAGCATGTCCGTTGAGTACAAGGTGATCCAGTGAGACCACTTTGCCCAATAATAGGCAATCTGCCTTTCACTGGATCACAATATATCATTTTGAGGCCATAGGTGTTTTGTAACTACACAGTATGCGAACATCTTTATGGCCAACTTGGAGCAACGCTTCCTAAGCTACCTATTCATACCTGTGATACATTGATGACATCTTTATTGTCTGGACACATGGTAAAAAGAAGCCCTGGATGTATTCCACCAGGCATTCAACAACTTTCACCTCACCATCAACCTCACAATGAACCAATCTATGCAAGAAATACTTTTTTCTGGACACTACTGTAAAAATATACAATGGACACATAGACACCACCTTATACCAGAAACCTACTGACCAACAAACATATCTGCATGCCTCCAGCTACCTTCCTAAACATACCAAACAATCCATTGTATACAGCGAGGCTCTACACTACAGCGATATCTGTTCCAGTCCTACAAACAGAGATTCCCACCTGAGGGATCTACAATAAACCTTTTTGGAACTAAAATATCTACCTGATGAAGTCAAAAAACATTAACAGGCTTAACATTGAACAGCTGGATAGTCATGCTGCTGAACATCAAAGATTAAACACTGGCAAAAGGAGATATCAAAAATCTCTCTGCATTCGGTGGAAGATGAACAAGTGGAAGAACTTCCAGTGCTCAGTCAAGAAGAACTTGAGGCAATTAAAGACCCAAATATCATAACTAGTCAAATAGCTCTTTTGGAAGCTCAGTGTCATGAAATGAAAC